ATTATCTTCGGTATCGTATGCATTAACAATTTAACTTAACAAAAAAAAATATTTTTTCTTATTTATTCGTGCTAGTTTTCTTTATGACTTATCGAAATATATATATATACAAAAGCACACTAATATAGGGACAGGCACAGTAATTGGGACAGTTACCCTATACAACTAAATTTTATAAAACAAAACTATATTTTTGTTAATTTTGAAACATAACCTTTTGTTAATGTTATATAACTGAAACTATAAATGATATTATATTTATTATAATATCACGAAAGTAATGATTTTATGATCTCGTATGTTTCAGAATAAGGATAAGTATTTTTTGGATAGCGCTAATAAAATAAGTCTTTTTTTCGAGTCTGAAGCTCTGGAAGAAGATGGAAAATTGAAGGTTCATCCAAGAGTGTCGTTAAACAAAGTAAATTGGCTTAAAAAAGTTGTTTAGTTTAATCAATTCTCATAGACACGTACTTCAAAATACTTTCTTCAAAATTATTTTACGGCTTTATAATTTTCAGGTAGGTCATGCTCTTCATTGGTTACACCCTACTTTCAAAAAGTACACATTCGATGAAAGAGTCAAAGAAGTTGCTTTTCAATTAAACTATGAGGAACCGGTGGTGTGTCAATCAATGTACATTTACAAAAATCCTGGAATAGGCTCGGAGGGTAATTAAATAATTTTTTAGTTATATACTTTTTAGTTACATAAATATAACACAAGTATGTTATATGTCTAAAATAACTACAACATTATTGAATGCAAAATTCTTATTTTCTTATAGTTACGATGCATCAGGACGCATCGTATTTATATGTTGAGCCAATGAAACTCGTGGGTTTTTGGATTGCATTGGAAGATGCAACACTAGAGAACGGATGTCTATGGATCGCCCCAGGTTCACATCAGAGTGGAATACATAGGCGTTATATGAGAAATAAAGATTCAAATTCTCAAGAATTACTAATTTTCGATAGGCCAGCGCCTTGTTATCCATTAAGTAATTTCAGACCAGTACCAGTACGCAAAGGAACTTGTATTCTTATCCATGGTCATGTGGTTCATTTTTCTTATCCAAACAAGAGTGAAACCTCGAGACACGCTTACACTTTTCATGTGATTGAGATGAAACATGTATCGTACTCGAAGGAAAATTGGCTTCAACCTCCTGCTGAAGGTTTCGCGAGTCTTTATAAAAATTAAATATATTGTATTAACTGTGTTAAGAAATCCATTGTTTATTACACAATCGTATTATACTTCACAATATTCGATATATATATACAAAAGCACACTAATATAGGGACAGGCACAGTAATTGGACAGTTACCCTATACAACTAAATTTTATAAAACAAAACTATATTTTTGTTAATTTTGAAACATAACCTTTTGTTAATGTTATATAACTGAAACTATAAATGATATTATATTTATTATAATATCACGAAAGTAATGATTTTATGATCTCGTATGTTTCAGAATAAGGATAAGTATTTTTTGGATAGCGCTAATAAAATAAGTCTTTTTTTCGAGTCTGAAGCTCTGGAAGAAGATGGAAAATTGAAGGTTCATCCAAGAGTGTCGTTAAACAAAGTAAATTGGCTTAAAAAAGTTGTTTAGTTTAATCAATTCTCATAGACACGTACTTCAAAATACTTTCTTCAAAATTATTTTACGGCTTTATAATTTTCAGGTAGGTCATGCTCTTCATTGGTTACACCCTACTTTCAAAAAGTACACATTCGATGAAAGAGTCAAAGAAGTTGCTTTTCAATTAAACTATGAGGAACCGGTGGTGTGTCAATCAATGTACATTTACAAAAATCCTGGAATAGGCTCGGAGGGTAATTAAATAATTTTTTAGTTATATACTTTTTAGTTACATAAATATAACACAAGTATGTTATATGTCTAAAATAACTACAACATTATTGAATGCAAAATTCTTATTTTCTTATAGTTACGATGCATCAGGACGCATCGTATTTATATGTTGAGCCAATGAAACTCGTGGGTTTTTGGATTGCATTGGAAGATGCAACACTAGAGAACGGATGTCTATGGATCGCCCCAGGTTCACATCAGAGTGGAATACATAGGCGTTATATGAGAAATAAAGATTCAAATTCTCAAGAATTACTAATTTTCGATAGGCCAGCGCCTTGTTATCCATTAAGTAATTTCAGACCAGTACCAGTACGCAAAGGAACTTGTATTCTTATCCATGGTCATGTGGTTCATTTTTCTTATCCAAACAAGAGTGAAACCTCGAGACACGCTTACACTTTTCATGTGATTGAGACGAAACATGTATCGTACTCGAAGGAAAATTGGCTTCAACCTCCTGCTGAAGGTTTCGCGAGTCTTTATAAAAATTAAATATATTGTATTAACTGTGTTAAGAAATCCATTGTTTATTACACAATCGTATTATACTTCACAATATTCGTCGTCTCATTCTTTCTGTATAAAAAATAACATTAATTTGTATACAATTCAGAAGAAAAATAAAATCAATTTTTCATAATTTATATAGCCACAAAAAAACCAAAAGCATCAATGAAAAAACGTTACATATATATAAAGTATTACATATGCAAACGATACATTTTCAGAAGATTTATTTATATTAAATTTATTAATAGCACGCGCACACACATACACACATAAGTACAAAAAAAACTTTTCCTCAAATAATACACTTCTCGTATATGCAATACAATCAACAAGAGAAAAATAATTCTAAAATTTTAAACCTAAGAGTAAAATTGCAATAATTTTCATTGATACTATTGATATCACAGTCACCCTTATAAAAATTTTATTTTTATAGTAATATTTTTATACTAATTATAATATATAGTAATATTTCGTTCAAATATAATTAAAAATAATAAATAACATAATTAAAAATAGTAAATTACAAAATACGTACTACCTATGGGCAGCTAATGCACAAAAATGCGAAGTTAATTCTTGTAGCTGTCTTAAACCAGTGCTTAATATTTCTTCTTTTAACTTGACACAACAATATATATCCAAAGGTGTTACATCAAATGTTATTCTGTCTCTTATGTCAGGCAAAAATGTATTTAAATTGTACTGTAAGCTAAACAATGTCTGATGTCTTATAGAATTTTCAGCTTGCGTCAGTAACCTAATTACAAAAAAAAGGTACATAAATATACTATATGTAATATAATGCAAAATAACATGACACGAAATTACATATTTATCAGTAAAAATATATCGACACTATTAAAAAATAACTTACTTATTTAGATTTTGTGTCAGATCAATTACTTTTCTAGTAATTTCTGATTGCAGACGTTGTACGCTTGCTTGTGATAATGATGGATTTGCAGAATCGAAAGTAAAGGAATATGCCATTCCTGCATTACTGCATGCCAAACCACTATTATGGAATAAAAATAAAATAATTATAAAAAAAAGAAATAACAGTATTTTCAATATATATCCCATTTGCATTAACATAATATTTAATTCAAATGTGATATGTATTAATAAATACTTTTTTTTCATAATATGTACATATATATTATGATGATGCATGTGGCTCCGTGTGAATACGATTTACTTATAATCAGTGAGTCACAGGTTCGATTCCGACTTCATCACATACACTATATGTATATATGCACACGTACACGCACACAAGTAGAGGGATTCTTACCATAGGTCACGCGCGAAAGTATAAATTTGCTGGAAACAGTGAAATACTTTTTCTGCTCTCGTTTCTTGTTCTTGGAAATTTTCCGCGATGCCTATTTTGTCGTGTAATTTTTTCAAATCAATATTATCGAAATATTTTTTATATTTTTGCTTGAGTTCCTAAAAGTATGAATTTTTTTTAACTCTGTATCGTAATAACAAAATATATTCAAATATATAAAAAATGTTACGGTAATAGCATTAAACGTTTCTGTCAGGGGATCACAGTGCTTATCTATGTTAACCATTTGTACTAAATCACTGCACTTTTCTATAATATATTCCATATCTCGCAATTTTCGACCACCAACTAAAATATCAAATTAAATACTCAGTTTGCAAAATGTAGTTTTAGTAGATTACATGTGTATAAATATACCTGGTGTATGTTCAAAAGTATCGAGTAATTCTTTGAGAAGACGTTCAGCATCACGTCTTTGGAACGATTCGCTAATAGCGGCAATCCAGTGCTTTATAGCACACTTTAATGCAGTTACTGTAGTCCACGGTGGCTTTATAATGACATATATCTGCCACTCCGCTTCTCCATAAATTTCTGACATTTGTTTTGTAATAATCTGAAATTAAAATATTGATTTTATATATTTGATACATAGGCGTAAAAACTGATTCATGATCCAATGTAAGATGCATACTGTTGACAAAAAGTTTCTCATAATTAATTTTGTATCCTCAAAAATATCATCCGTCAAATGTGATTCTTCCATTAAAATAGACCTTTCATCAGGATCATTATTCAAACGGTTGACTACTGCATCCGTATCAAGATCATCTATTTTTTCAAGTGAATCATGACGCCCCAATGCCAATATATTATATATCATCGCCTTAGTACAGAGATTTTTGTCATAAGATAATAAGACCTACAAAATAAAAATAAATATAGCATTGTTATTCTTTTATGTATAAACATGTCAAATAACATGACAGAAAGATAACTTGCCACTGATTTTTGTAATTGGGAGATTTGTAAGCAACACTGAAGGATCTCATCATCTGGGCAATCGAGAGAAAAATCTTCTTTATTTTTCGCTGCTTGTTCTCGTGTTTGTCCTATGACACGTGGATGTTTAGAGGAAAATTGCTTGTGGATGAAAGATATAGCTTTCCTGGCTTTTATCGATAATTCATTATTAGCTCCATTACCCTTAAAGTAATCTAATTCCTGTTGTAAAAATTATTTAGAAAAAATGTGTATGTTAAAATCTTTAAAAAGATGACAGAATTTTGACTATACTGTATATTATACTTACACATATCACAGTCCATGGAATTACAATAAAAGGACGTGGATAATTCTTAAATACTGCATCTTTCGCTTCTTCAACAATTTCAAGGTTTGACAAAAATACATTTGTATCAATAACAATGTAGAGTGGACCTTTGCCGTGTGATTCTGTATTATTAAATTGTGTCAACTCTGCAGCATTTTCTGACACACAATTTGTTTCATCTATACGATTTTCTCTACAAAGTTGTGTTCTGACAACTTCCACCTATACTAAGAAAAAGTATGAAAGTATAAAATTTAATTTAAAAAATATATTTTTATAGTAACTGTTATATAAAACAAAAATAGTCAATATTGAACAAGATATGTAATATCACAGTGGCAAAATATACTCATATAAATTATGATTGCTTAAAAAATATATTTTAATTATATGGATCATACTTGAAGAGCAATTTCTTCATCTTTCATTGGTTCCCAATCCATTTCTTCATATAAAACTTCTTGCTCACCCCGTTCTATTAATTCATCCTTTGTTGTATTTTCAGTCTTATTTGAATTTTTTGTTTGATTACTTTGTTGAGTTTGTGAATTATCATCTTTTAATGTATTAATATTTCTTTCGCATATTGCATCTTTTAAAAGTCTGTTATGTAATTTCTTAAGTCGTATGTCAACATTTTTATAAACATTTGATCCTAAGCTGCCTGTAAACATAAAATATAAAAACAAATATTTTGAATCTTTACTGATAAATACTAAAACATAAAATATAAAATAACTCTACTAAAGCATAAAATATAAAAAATATATGTTATATTATATACCTACTGGAATTAGATGAACTTCTGCTTAGCTTTTGAGGAGACTTCTTGGTAATTAAATCAGCATCACACATTTCCTTAATTTTTTCCTTATCAACATTCAAATTTGTTCTTAATCTTTGCATACGTTCTTGTGCCAAGTTTTTCTTTAAAAACGATTTTCCTCCTTTTTTTCCTAAACACAAAATTAGTTTTACTTCTTTATAATGGTGACATAATAATTAAATACATTTGTACAATTGCATTTACTTGAATTTTGTTTAGATGATTCCTGAACATTTTGATTCTTATTATGCCACTCAATATCATGTGCATTTCGAGTAATAATTTTTTGATGTATATTTTCATCTCTTTTTTCTAATGTTTTTGTTAACTTCTGATCTACGATATTCTGACTTTGTTTTTTATTCATAGCACCTTTTCTTAATGGTTTATTTAGACTAAATGTGTTTGAACTTCTCTGCTCAAGTTTTCCACGAAGTGGTACTTGTGGTATTCCTTCATTATTATTTTTAGCCCGAGAATTCACTGATTTATCATCCTTTAACTTTGAAGGAAAGTTTCTTAGAGAGATATTTGTCTTATTTCCCACTACCTTTGTACATGAAGCTTGTGGCAACAAGGGAGAAGATTTATTTTTGGTGTTTAATCTTTGCAACGCTTTCTCTCTAACAGCTTTCATTTGCGGAGTCTCGATAATTTTATCATATGCATCTTGATTAGATGTTGCCTTTTTCTTAGCATTAGATGCCATTGTACTGCAACATTCCTCTTCTTGATGTTTAGTTATTGAAGAAGACTAAAATAAAAGTTTTACAGAATTAAGACCTTTTAAAAATTAAAATAAAGACATCTAAAAAAGAAATTTGATGGTACTATTTTATGAGATACTGCATGATCTCAATTTGATGCTTAGTTTACATCATCCAATTAGACCATTACCTATATGATAGATATTCTTGTTTAATTTATAAGATTAAGGGGCCAATTCTGTAACTCTTAACGACAGTTTGTTGATGTTGCTCAGATATTATGTAGAGTAAAAAAAACTGTACAATGACATCAACAACTGTCGTTTAAGAGTTACAGAATCGACCCCTAAACAAAGATACCGATTGTATAGATAGCAGCCTAAACATATAGTGTAAACTAGGCCAGTGTGCTAGGGCTTCTTTCCTGAAAAATATTGCATACGAAAATTCTATAGCATATATATTATGTAAATTTTTGTATGCAATATAAATTCAAAAATAAACTTCCTGACGTTGAGAGTTGGATTTTTGAGCACCAGCATAAAAAGGCATGTTGACATGTTTAACAGATTACAGTACGAAAATATATTATGGAGAGAAAAATACCCTGATGTTATCCAATGGTGGTTGAATCCACGAAGATTGATTAGTTTTCACATTGAAGTAATATACTCTGTCTGGATGACTTTTAGAGTTGACAATAATCCAATCCTTCGGTAATTTATGCTTTAACATGTTGAAAAAATGCGTATCAGGAAATTTAATGAGTCCGTACTAATAAAGTTGGATTTTTGAGCACCAGTATAAAAAGGCATGTTGACATGTTTAACAGATTACAGTACGAAAATATATTATGGAGAGAAAAATACCCTGATGTTATCCAATGGTGG